TGCAAGAACAACCAGTGTTCTTAACCGCTGAGCCATCTCTCCAGCCTCTACATTGTTTATTTTTATGTGAGACATTTTGTTCTTGTTGTGATGTAGTCTCATGTGTATGGCTGAGGAAAACCTTGAGCTCCTCACGCACCCGTTCAACCTCATTTAATCTTGTTTTTACCAAATTTATTTATCTTGTGTGTATATGTGTGTGTGAGCATGTACATGTTTCAGCGTGGATGTGGAGCTCAGTGGACAACATGCAGTGGTCGTTTCTCTCCTTCAACCATGTGGATCCTAGCGATCAACTTCAGGTAGTCAGGGTTGGTTGCAAGTACCTCAACCATTGGGCCTTATCACCAATCCCTCAATCTCATTTTTGTTTTTGGTCTTTTTGAGACAGCATCTCCCTGTAGCTCCAGCTGGCCTGGAACTCTCTATGTAGATCAGGCTGGCCTTGAACTCACAGAGATCTGCCTGCCTCTGCCTCCCGTGTAGTAGGATTAAAGGGCACCTAATTTCTTAATCTTGTTTTTACCAAATTTATTTATCTTGTGTGTATATGTGTGTGTGAGCATGTACATGTTTCAGCGTGGATGTGGAGCTCAGTGGACAACATGCAGTGGTCGTTTCTCTCCTTCAACCATGTGGATCCTAGCGATCAACTTCAGGTAGTCAGGGTTGGTTGCAAGTACCTCAACCATTGGGCCTTATCACCAATCCCTCAATCTCATTTTTGTTTTTGGTCTTTTTGAGACAGCATCTCCCTGTAGCTCCAGCTGGTCTAGAACTTGCTGTGTAGATCAGGCTGGCCTTGAACTCACAGAGATCTGCCTGCCTCTGTCTCCCAAGTGCTAGGATTAAAGACACCTGCCTCCACACCCGACTCCCTCCATCTCATTATTTAAAAATAGTTTATTTATTATTTTTATGTGTATGAGTATATTGCCTGTGGAAGCCAGAAGAGGGTGTTGGATCCCCTGGAACTGGAGTTATGAACAGTTGTTAGCTGCCATTTGGGTGCTGGGAATCAAACCTGGGTCCTCTACAAGAGCAGTCAGTGCTCTTAACCAGTGAGCCATCTCTCCAGCTCCTCCATCTCAGTATTTGAGACAGGGTTTTTAATTGAACCTGTAGCTCATTGATTTGACTACAATGGCTGGTCACAAGCTTCAGAGATCCTCTTGTCTGACTTCTGAGGGAAATGCACACCCATGGGCCACACACATAGTGCACTTACATACATATAGACAAAACATTCATACACATAAAAGTAAAATAAAATTAAAAAAAACATGTTTTGTGGATAACTTTTCAGGTTTTCCAAAAGGCTGATATACTTCAATTTTGGAAACACCAGTGTTAATTTTGAGCCACAGATGTAACCTAACCAACTACCACTATGTTTGGTACTAAGAGATATACCTTTTAATAAATTTATTGAAATGCAAAAAAAAAAAATTTAGGCTGGGCCTGGTAGTGCAGGCCTTTAATCCCAGCACTCGGGAGGCAGAGGCAGGTGGGAGGATCTCTGTGAGTTCAAGTTAGACTGGTCTATATAGTGAGTTCCAGTCAAGCTGGGGTTACAGGAAAACCCTGTCTCAAAAAGACCAGAAAGATACAAAAAAGAATTTACCCTAAACCAATTGCAAGAATAGAAGAATAGCGTTCTCGACAGCATCAGCACAGAAAGTCCGCATCGACCTGGAGACTGGGCAACAACTCAGTGGGTGGGGAAATGGAAGAGGCTCCCGGTGCCTTGTTGGCCCCCTAGACTCCAGCCCCATGTGTCTTTACCTTTTTGGTCTGCAAACTGTCCCTCGGGGCAGGGACTGCAATCAAAGCAGCAGTGGGGCGCTCCTGGCCGGGACATTTGGCTGAACCCTGGAGGGCAGCTAGTGCTGCAGATGGAGGTAGGCACCTGGTAACAGTGAACATGGTGACACCAGTGACTGTCCAGGGATACAGATGCTTGACCCCACCCTGAGAGACAGACCTTTCAGCCCACATGATGAGGTGTCTTTCAGGAAACATCTCTGTCACACAAGATGCCAGACTGACGGGGTACCCTTGAGTGTAGTGAAGGATGGGTTGTCCGTGGCTAAGGGTGAAATATGAATTAAGGCCTTTCCTGTCTCTCTGGGGCTCCGACATTGAGAACTGTATGGACCGACGTTCGCTTACCGAGCTATTACCATTCACCTCAGTCAAGTGTACCTGCTAGTCTGAATTACTCAAAAAGTTCATTTTTTTCCTTTTTCCTTCTGTTTTTTAATCTGTTTTTCTTTCTTTTAGATTCTGGCCAGTGCCCAGATGTGGTTAGTTTTTGTCAATTTGAAACAGACCAGAGTGACTTGGGAAGAGGAAACCTCAATTGAAGAAGTTATCTGATCGATTGGCCTGTTATCATGTCTGTGAGGCATTTTTAAAATGGCTCGTTGATATGGTTCAGATTACTGTGGGCAGTGTTATCCCTGGGGAGGGGGTCCTGAGCTGTATAAGAAAGCTAACTGAACCAGTGAGAGGAAGCAAGTCAGTAAGCAGCATTCTTCCATGGTCTCTGCTTCAGTTCCTGCCTCCAGGTTCCTGCCTGAGTTCCTGCCCTAACTTCTCTCAGTGATGGACTGGGGCATGGAAGTATAAGACTAAAAATAAACCCTTTCCTTTTCCCACAAGTTGGTTTTTGGTTGGTGTTTTATCACAGCAGCAGAAAGCAAACTACAATGCTGGTGTGCTTTCCCTGGCACTCTGGACTTTCCTGAGCGTTCTCTGAAGGTCCCCTCCCCGCCTCAACATGCCATGTGACTGCTTGTCTGCCATGGGACCAGTTGCTGGCCTCTATGCCTAACTCAAAAGGCATATATTTCGTTCTTCTTCCCAACTCCCTCCTTCATATAATTGTTGAGATTACAGCTTGCCTGCTGGGACCGATAGTGCCAGTTGTCGACTTGGCACACCTGGGTAGAGGAAACCTTGAGAAGTTTCTTTCCATTAGATTGGCCTGTGGCCATGTCTGTGGGGCATTTTCTTGATTGTTGAGTGATATGGGAGGACCCAGCCCACCGTGAGCGATGCCACCCCTGGACAGGTAGTCCTGTGTTGTATTACAAAGCAGGCTAATGGCTGGATGTGGTGACACACGTCTTTAGTCCCAGCACTTGGGAGGCAGAGGCAGATGGGTCTCTGTGAGTTCAAGGCCAGCCTGGTCTACATAGTGAAATCCAGGCCAGCTGAGGCTACAGGGAGACCTTGTCTCAAAAAGACTGGAAAAAAAAAGCAGGCTGAAGGGCTCTAGAGATGGCTTAGTGGTTAAGAGCACTGGCTGCTCTTGCAGAGGTCCTGGGTTCAGTTCCCAGCACTCACATGGTGGTAAACAACTGTCCATGACTTCAGTTCCAGCAGATCTGACACCCACTTCTGACCTCTGCAGGAACTGCATGACATGGGTACATTTACATACTTGTAGGCACTATACTCACATATATAAAATAGAACTACTAAATAAAATATAAAATATATATAAGCTAAAAGAAAACAGGCTGAGGATGGGCCAGGACAGTAAGCCAGTAAGACTGTACCTCCATGGCCTGTGTTCCTGGGCTCCAGGTTCCTGCCTCAGCTTCCCTTGATGATGGACTGTGAGCTATAAGCCAAATAAACCCTTTCCTCCCCAACTTGGTTTTGGTCAGTGTTTTTACCACAACAATAGAAAGCTAACTGAGACACCTGCACTGTTATTTTTCTCCTAAACACTAATAAAAGTGTCCTCTTGCTTCACATAACTTGTAGGTACTGACCCTCTCACCACACACACAACATACACACCTTTCCCTTGCACACTCACAGGTCACTTTATATACATGGCACTTGAAAAGGATGGCTTGGCTTCTCTTGGCACAGACAAGAGTTATGAAGAGGGAGGTGTGGATGCTGGGGTTCCCCCACCGCAGAAGGGAACAGAAAACCCTCTGTAGATTACGTTCATTGAAAAGTACTTTAAGACAACCTGCTGGACACTGATCACGTGTGTGTCTCTAAGATATCTGAGAACTGGAGCCTCATTCTGAACTGGAAAACCTTAACGGCATTGACTGGAGATGCCGTCAAGAACAAAGTTAGACAAGGTTGCAGAAGAAAGGATCTCACGCCCACTGTCACTGGACAGGAAGCTGGGGTGTTTCCATGGGCCACAGTAGACACCATGACACACCTGTCCCAAACAGCAGCTGATTTTGTTAAGATTTTGTTAAGAATTGTTATGGCTTGAAAAATGCCCTCAAGGGAGCTGCAGATGCAGGTTCCAATTCGATGTATGCAGCTCTGATGTTTTCTTTTCCCTTTTCTCTTGTGTGTGGTGTACATGTGTGTATACTTGGTGTGTGTGTGTGTGTGTGTGTGTGTGTGTGTGTGTGTGTGTGTGCCTGAGATTGCTATTTGGAATCATCCTCAATTGCTCTTCCCACTTATCCATTAAGGAAGGTCTCTCAGTCTAACCCAGAGCTCTCTGATATGACTGGTCTTGCTGGCCAGCTTGTTCTGGGTCCCTTGTGTCCCACTTCCGAGACTGGAATTACTGGTGGGCCATTGACCTCATTTGGCATTTACATGGGTTCTGTGGACTCAAACTCTGGTCCTCATATTTGTATGGGAAGTGCTTTAACCACTGAGAACTCTCTCCAGCCCCAGCTCTACTATTTTAATTTTCAGTGGTGAATACAGGTCTTCCCCACCCCATAGAAAGGTCTCATATTAGGTAAACAGCATAAACAGTTATAACTGGCTCAGTCTAGAACAACATCTGCTTCATGCATCAAACAGAGTCAAGGACCTTTGACCTCCGAGTTTTCCTCTGGCCCTACTACACAAGGACAGGGTTCGTCTACACATGCAGGAAACTCACTTGGATGTCCTCCTTCAAATGGACCGCCATTCTGTTCTCTGAAGAGGTCCAAGGGTCAATCATGCCTATGTGGGCCAATTTGAACCCACCCTCATGGGTCCTCTGCCCTTGGAAAATGTCAAATTGTGCCACCAAATCTCCATTGGCATCAAACATAATCTCAGTCCCATCAGGAGTCTTGAAGTGCACCTTCCTGAGGGCGTGAAGCAGCTGGGAAAGGAAGGGTGACATTGGAGAGTGACCATGGCCAACTTGGGACTGGCCCAAAGTGGCATAGGCTATTGGTGTCTGAAATGCACCAGTGCCAGTCACACACACACACACACACACACACACACACACACACCACACACTATGTTGTAGAAACCAGTTCTCTCTTTCCTCCATGAGGCACCCAAGGATTGAAATCAAACCCAGGTTGTCAGCCTTGGTGGCAAGTCCACCCGGAGTCATCTTGCCAGCCCTAAAATTGCATTTTAATGATTTTTCAGAGGTGGATGGAACCCCAAAACATCACAATGTGCCCTGGCTCCAGGCCCTGGCTTGGCTGTGCACTGCTGTCCTCAGCCTTCCCAACACACTGAGCAGACTCCAGACCCTACCAGGACTTCACAGACCAGAGCCAGCCCACTTAGAATGCACAATCACTTCGCCCAGTTTCTCACACTTGCTCAGTTCCAGCCATCCACCTCTTTTCTGTTCCCATGGTGAGGATTGGTACATGCTCCACCCCTACCATCTGCAATGCCATCACTTCTCATCTACTCTTCTGGAATGCAGCTCAACATCCCTGATGTCCCCATCTTCACTCACCTCTCATCCTTTACCTGCTCTGAATTTCCCCCACAGCACAGACACACAGACCTTGACACACTCCTGTATTTTTATTTTGTGACAAGGTCTTGCTTTGTAGTCCAGGTTGGCCTTGAACTGGGGGTTCTCCTGCCTCAGCCTCCTGGTTGATGGGATGGCAGGCATGGGACCTCATGCCTGGCCTCATGTAATTTGAAATCTGTCTTCCTCTGCTAAAAAGCCAACAACTCTCACTGTCCATCTGATTTACAACCATATGCACTTTACCTGGCAGATAATAGACACCCAGGTCATCTAAGTGAATTGAATGAAACACCCCTTCTTTGGTCTCTACCCTAACTGGTTTCCTCACCAGTGAGCAGCATTTCCTCTGAGAGTCTGCTTTCAAATCTTCCATGGGCTATTCACCTCTACATTGAATGGACTGGAGAAGATAGAAAGATAGGTAGATAGATAGATAGATGATAGAGAGATGATAGATAGATGATAGAAAGATAGATAATAGGTAGATGATAGCTATATGATAGATGCTAAGTAGAAAATAGATAAATGATAGTTGGATGGTATAGATGATAGATGGAAAGATAGCTAATAGATGATAGAGGATAGATAGATGACAGGTGATAGATAATAGATAAATGATAGATGATAGATACTAGAAGATAGAGAACAGATAGATGATAGATTGAAGGATGATAGACAGATGATAGATAGACAGATGATAGATAGACAGATGATAGATATGGAATATAAAAACTGGAGGAGGAAATGACCAAATTCATTTTTTACATATATGAAATTGTCAAATAATTTGTTTTGGCTTTTTTGGTACAGGGTCTCCCTGTAGCATAGGCTGGCCTGACATTTGCTATGTTGACCAGGCTGGGCTCCATCTCACAGAGATCATTCTTCCACCGCCTCCCAAGTGCTGGGAATAAAGGTATGTGCCGCTGAGCTCAGTCTTCAAAGAATATTTGTAAAAAGAAAACTCAATAAAAGCTGGGGAGATCACTCAGTGGTTAATGCATTTGTCACACAAGTAGGAGGCCTGGGATTCAAATGCCCAGGAAGACAGAGCCAGGGTTCCCAGAGCACAGTGGCTGAGACTAGCCATATTGATTAAATCTGTGTTTAATGAGAGCCCCTGCCTCGGTGAATAGGGTGGAAGATGATTCCTGACGTCAACCTGAGACATGTACATACATGCCTCGATGACCCCCTCACAAGTGCCCTCACATTTGCAAAACATACATACACGCACATGCAACACACACAACATGAAAAAAATGGAAAAAACAAACTTGCAGCAAGCCTATCCTAAAAATCATTCACTGTTTATCAAAACTCAAACTTGGGACACTAAAAAACTCTATTCACTGTTCATCTGAAATTCAAATTTTACCAGGCATCCGGCTTAGTCAATCAATCACACAGGAATTAGATTCCTCTTAGATCATACGTGTAGCATGTACTCCTCATCCAAGATGCCTCCCTCCAGCAAGAATAAGACATCCTCCCAGGAGAGTGGGGTCTGTAGCTGTAGTCAAGTCAGAACCAATATCCTACTTCTCTACCATCCCCGAATCATTCACTCTGCATTCTTCTGCCTCACCTGCCAGGGCTGCAAGTCTCCAACATCTGTACATGCCCCATCCTGGTGCCCACCAGTCATCAGGTCTTGCAGCGCATGCGCGATGCTGTAGACAGCCGCATAAGCAGTGTCGATTTTGCTCACTTCCTGGAATGGATACTGCTTTGTTCTTAGACTTTCATTGCCCGAGCAGAACCGGACCCGCTCTGGCACCATGCTGTTCCTGTGAGGCCAGGTGCAGTCAAAGGTGAACTCCCAGAACCTCTCTATAAACATGTCTTCTGGGGTCTGGCTAGGGCGGAGGTCAGCCAGGAACTCAGAGAAGCCGGGCGCCCGGCTGCTGCGATACAGAAGGCCAAAGGAGCCTTGCAAGACCTGGGAAACCCCTGGAATGGTCAGGGCGAGTCCGTGTGCAGAGCGTGCTTGCTGACCCAGACCTGGCCTGCAACAGGGAACTGCAGTAAGCCAGGCAGGATGAGCTGGAAATTCAAGTTGCTCAGGAAGACCAGGACAACCGTGGCTGTGCTTCTCTGCACCTTTTGGACAATAGCTTCAATCTTCTCGGGAGACTGCTGGAAAGGGACGTGGAGGTGGAACTCAATGCACACACCAGCCTGGACTAGCTCCCCCGTGGCCAGAGAGCCCGCCTGCTGCCCAAAGTCGTCATCCTGGGCCAGAATGATCACCCAGGACCACTGAAAGTGAATTATCAGCTGGGTGACTGCATGGGAGGATGTGAGGTCACTGGTCAGGGTTCGAAGGAAGGATGGGAACTGGGTCTTGTCGCTGAGGCTGGGCAGTGTGGATGAGTAACTGACCTGTCAAGAAAGAACCCGACAGAACAGAGTGGATGAGATCAGGGCCCAGGCACAGGTCAGGGTGAAATGTGAGGAGCAGGGACTGGAGAGAGGACTCGGCACTTAAAAGAGGATGCTGCTCCTGCAGGAGAGCTGAGTTCCCAGCACCTAAACAGGGCAGTTCACAGCCACCCATCACTGCGGCTCCAGGTTTCCCACACCCTTGTCTAGCCTCCATGGATACCTGAGAACATGTGGTGGACGCTCACCCAGACATATACGCATAAAAAAGGAGTTTTCTTGAAAATACTTGAGCATCAAGCTCAGAAAATTCTGATTCCACCAAGAACCTCTGTGTCCCTCCTAGGCTGATTCATTCCAGACACAGCCCCTGTGGCTCCTAGGGTGAAGCCCAGCACCCAGCCTTACCTGCTCCCCTCTCAGCACCTGTCCTTTGCCCCACCAAGCTGGCTCTGACCCTGGTTTGCACACAGCTGATAGATCACTCTTTTTTCTAATTTTATTACATTGTGTGTGTGTGTGTCTGTGTGTGTGTGTGTGTGTGTGTGTGTGTGTGTGTGTGTGGACACGTGAAAGCCACAGTGTGGATGTGGAGGTCAGAAGACTACTTTTAGGATTTGGTTTTCTTCTTCAACCACATGGGTTCTGGGGATTGAACTCTCATCAGGATTACCATCAGGATCACTTTAGCCCAGTGAGCCATCTCAATATCCCTGGTAGAGACCAATGAACTGTTCTTCATAGCTGCTAATTGTTCTTCATAAGCTCCTATCCTCAGGCCTTAATTTTTTAAAGAGATGTTTCATTTTATGTGTATGCATGTATTGCCTGCATGTAGGTAAGTGCACCTGTGTCGTGTAATGCCTGTGGAGGACAGAAGAGGCCGTCGGATCCCACGGAACTGGAGTTATGGACAGTTCTTAGTTGCCATATGGGTGGTGGGATTCGAACCCAGTCTTCTGCAAGAACAACCAGTGTTCTTAACAGCTGAGCCATCTCTCCAGCCCAGGCCTTAATCTTTAAGGTATGAGCGATGGGGAATCTGGTTTGCCATATTGTTTGTCAACTGAGCAAGGAAGAGACCAAAGCTTGTTCTCAAAGGAGAGGGTGGCTCTTTGAGCCGAGGCTAGCACAGTTCTGTCTGAGTTTGCTTTTGGTCCATGGCTGAGGTGCAGAATGGATCTGCTCAGCCTCAGGGCTTCTTCTCCGACTGCAAAACCTTCTCTCACCACCAGAGGGCAGTAATTAAACGGGCGATGTGAAGGTCTTAACATAAAGGCACTAACATCGGATTGGTTCTTGCAGAGGAGTAAGGCTGACTTTCATGTATGTAGTGCTGTAAATTGTTTTAAAATTTCTTAAATTATTTTTTGTATGTATGAGTGTATTGCTTGCATGTATGTAAGTGCACCTATGTCATGCAATACCGGGGCGGGGGGTCAGAAGGGAGCATGGGATTCCTTTGGAACTGGATTTACTGATGGTTGTGAACTGTCATGTGGGTGCTGGGAATCAAACCCAGGCCCTCTGCAAGAGCATACAATGCTCTTGACCGCTAAGCCACCTCCTCAGTCCCATGCTGTCAGATTTTACAAAAAAATACAGGATGTCCAGTTAAATTTGGACTTTATATAAACCCCAATAAGTTTTAGTATAAGTTTTTGTCTGAAAAACATGTATAATTACCAATAAACAGTAATTTTATAGAAATAGTGTGACAAACTTACACTAAGGACAATTCATTTTTCTCTGAAACTTACATTTAACTGAATTTTATCTTACACTCCTACAAGATGGAGAACAAGAATTTCTTGAGTTATATTCAAGAAATGAAATTTCTGTTTCAGGCCTGATGGTGCCTGCCTGTAATATTAGCATGGAGGAGCAAGATTCAAGGACAGCATGAGGTACACAGTGAGATGCGGTCTCAACAACCACATGCCAAAAAAGAAATGAAATTTCAGCCTCTCTCTCTTCCTCTCTCTTTCTCTATCTTTCTCTCTCACCCTCTCTCTCTCCCTGTTCTCTTTGTGTGTGTGTGTGTGTGTGTGTGTGTGTGTGTGATAATCATACCCAGTGTAAGAAATGAGGTTTCTAGTCATTTAAATATGCCTGAATTTTAGGGGTTGTAGAGATTGCTCAGTGGTTAAGGGCACTTGCCGCACAATCATGAAGACAGGAGTTCAAATCCCAGCACTCGATTAATAAGCCAGGTACCTTGCTCATACTTGTAACCCCAGCTCCAGGTGAGGTGGAGACAGGAGGATGGCTGGGGTTGCTGGCTTCCAGCCTAGGGAAGAAAACCTGAGCTATGGGTTTTGTGAGAGACTCTGCCTCAAAGAAATAAGGGGAGAGTGATGGAGGAGGCTGCCATGCCCTCCTCTGACCTCTACATGCACACACTGGTGTGCGTAGTCACAGAGACACAGAGAAATAGGCAATATGTTCAAATATGCATGGACTTAAAAGGAAAGAAATAAACCTGCCTTATAGCTGGGCAGAACAATTGTTGCCACAAGTTGAAGGCCAGCATCATCTGCATAGTGAGTTCCTAGGCAGCTAGAACTACAGAGTAAGACTCTGTCTCAAAAAACAAAAACATACCTGTTGATGAGGCCCACACCTTTACTCCCAGCCCTTGGGAGGCAGAGGCAAGTGGATCTCTGAGTTAAAAATCAGCCTGGTCTACATAGGGAGCTCTAGGCCAGCAATGGTTACATAGTGAGACCTTGTCTCAACCGAAACAACAGAAAAAAAAACCCAAAACCAAAACACAAAAAGGGCTGGAGAGGTAACTCAGGGGTTAAGATACTGGCTGCAACCTGGCATTCTGGCCCATGCCTTTAATCCCAGCACTCGGAAGGCAGAGACAGGAAGAGCTCCACGAGTTCAAGGTCAGCCTGGTCTACGTAGTAAGTTCCAGGTCAGCTGGGGCTACTTAGAGATCCTGTCTCAAAAAGAACCCCTCCCTCCAAAAAGAGTACTGGCTGCTCTTGCAGAGGACCTAGATACAGTTCCAAGCACCCACAAGGCAGCTAACAACTGATAAATGGATAAACAAATGTGGTCTCCACATATAGTGGAATTTTTGTTGTTGATAAGAAAGAATGAAGCTCTGTCAGATGCTATAACATACACAAATCCTGAAGACTGCTTTCCGGGAAAGAAGCCATTCTAGACATCTTTATACTGTGTGATTCCATTGATGGGAAATGCCCAGGAAAGGAAAATCCACAGGGACAGAAAGTGGTTAGATGACATTAGTGGTTAGGGTAGATCTGCTGATGGAACATGGTAGCCAGTGGGCTTGAGGGGTCTCTGCAGGAAGATGAAAATGTTCTCAAATAAACTCTGATAATCATACTAAAATAAAAGTCACTGAATTATTCACCTTAAATACCTCAGTTGGGGCTGAAGAGATAGCTTAGGTCAAGAGTGTGCTTTGCTCTTGCAAAAGACCTGAGCTGGATTCCCAGCACCTATATCATGTGGCCCACAACCACCTGTAACTTCAGTTCCAGAAGATCCAATACCCTCTTTTGGCACTTGTGTCCACAAACCAACACTCACACCTACATATATACATGATTAACAAAATAAAAATATTCATAAAATATGCCGGGCATGGTGGCACATGGCTTTAATCCCAGCACTCGGGAGGCAGAGGCAGGCGGATCTCTGTGAATTCCAGGACAGCTGGGGCTACAAGGAGACCCTGTCTCAAAAAAGACCAAAAGAAGCCATAAAATATTTTAATTCATCACTTGTATTCTGTACAAATTATCCTCAATTCACCTCTTAAAACTATGAAGAATTCACTTTTCAGAGGACATGTTTGTCAGTCATGGCACCATTGTGGCAATGACACTCAGGTCCTGGCTTTCAGGGAACATCAGTGGGGTTGAGGTGGAGCAGGTGGCATAAGCCGGTTACCTAGGTTCAAACCCCAGTTCTAGCACCCTGAGGTGGATGAGCTTCTACAGATCCAAAATTTTTCTCTGTGGACTGGGAAGATGGCTAAGTGTAGGGCCTGGAGAGATGGCTCAGCGGTTAAGAGTACTGACTGCTCTTGCAGAGGACCCAGGTTTGATTTCCAACACTCATATGGTGGCTGCGAACCATCCTTAACTACAGTTCCAGGGGAATCTGTAGCCCTCTTCTGACCTCCGTGGCATTGCACGACATGGGTACATTCACATATATGCAGGAAATACACTCATACACATAAAATAAAAATGATAAAGTACTAAAAAAATATGGCTAAGTGTGTAAAGGGAATTACCACCAAACACAACAACCTCAGTTCAATTCCCCAGGGCCTAGATGATGGAAGGAGAGAACTGACTTGGACAAGTTTTCCTCTGACCTCTATGGGGCACAATGGCCCAAATACATACAGAGACACGGACACGTACACATGTGAACATTTTGTGAATTTAAGAGATATTTTCTCTAACCCTGCTTCCTCATCAATGCAGGGAGATCACAGTTCTCTCAAAACTAGTTTCCATGGAGGGAAGCAATGGCATACATGGAGACTGTGAGCAGGAACCTGGCTCTACATTGGAGCTGCTCAGGACTGTGGTCATCACCATCCATTTCAATACCATCATAATTTTTGATGAAGGGACAAAGCTTTGGACAACTCACCTGGGGAAACTTGTACAGCCCCAGAAGCCTGGCCATGGAGACAGAAAGATCTGACCGGGTCTCCCCAACCAGGGCAGCCTGAGGAGGGCCAGGCTGACACGGGGAAAGAGAAGCCCATGTTTATCACTCATGCTAGGGTGAGTCAAGGGAGAATGAACACAGGCAGTGACTCAATGATAACATGGCTCCGAATACTCAGACACAGTTGTGCACAGTCAAGTGAGAGCCACGGGGAGTGAGGAGACAGTGGTCACACAGACAGTTGCAGGGAGACAAGAGCGATCACTGCAGATCTGTTACACAGCATGGTGGTTACAGTTAATGATGAATGTATATTTCAAAACTGCTGAGAGCAAGAGGCAGAATGTATGGAGAGGAGATGGGGAAGGCTGTCTTAGGGTACGGCACAGCCACCGTAAACTCGACCTCACCACAGCTGCGCAAGACTGAGCCCCTCAATAGCCAATCAGGAATTTGGGATCTGCTCATGAGGCCCTACCCTTCCCTGCTGAAGTATTGGCAACTGAGGGATTCTGGGAGAGGGACAGGCTTTGCTTTTGGTTGGGCACCAAATGGTGAGTCCAGCAGTTTCCAGTGGACAGTTCCAAACCTGTGGCCATGTGGAAGTCCCTGAAAAATTGGTAGGAAACAAAAACAAAGCAAAAAGTCATGAATGTGGAAAGTGTAACTGTAGGTAGCAGAGTTACAGGGGTGGGTGGGGCCAACAGGAGGCAGGGGTGAGGGTAAACAGAATGCACCTCATACGTGTAGATGCTGTCAAAGAATGAATCTGCTCAATTCTTTTGATTGTCTACAAGAGATGGGTTTTTCTTTTGAGGTATAGTATAATGTAGCCCAGTCTGGCCTCAAACTCCCTATATAGCCGAGGATGACCTTGGACATCTTTTGTGTGTAAGTGTGTAAGTGTGGGTACACAAGTCTGTGACCTGCATGTGGAAGCCAGAGGTCAACTTGGAGTATCTTCTTCAATCCTTGTGTGTGTGTGTGTGTGTGTGTGTGTGTGTGTGTGTGTATGTGTGATGTATCTGCCACATGTGTTACAGGGTGAATGTGGAAGTCAGGGAACAACCTTGTGGAGTCAGTTTTTTTCTTTCCACACTTACGTTGCGTCCTAGTTTGTTTCTCCGTTGCTGTGACCAAAATAGTGTGACCGATACCAACTTGGCGAGGAAAGGGTTTATTCAGCTTATATCTCCCAGGTCACAGTTCATCAGGGAGCCCAAGGTAGGAACTCAGGGCAGGAATCTGGAGGCAGGAGCTGGAGCACAGGCCATGGAGGAATGCTGCTTACTGGCTTGCTCCCCTGGCCCATGCTCAGCCTGCTTTCTTATACAACATAGGCCCACCTGCTCAGGGGTTGAAACACCCACAGTGGGCTGGGCCCTCCCATGTCACTCCAGAATCAAGAAGATGCCCCGCAGATGTGGCCACAGGCCAGGCCAATGGAGGCAATTCCCTAATTGAGGCTCCCTCAACCCAGGTGTGTCAAGTTGACACTGCAGTTGTCCAGCACATGGATATGGACTGAACTCAGCAATGGACTGAACTCAGGTCATCCATCAGGCTTGGAAGCCATCTCAGAGGGTCCTCTCCACCTTATTTTTTGACACAGGGACTCTCACTGAGCCTGGAACTCCTCTGTTTGGCTAGCTTGGCTGGCCAGTGAGCTTTAGGAGTCTGCCTACCTCCCCACTCTCAACAATGGGCTTACAGATGCTCAAGTGCTCAGCTTTCAGGTACTGCTGGGGCTCTGAGCTCAGGGCTCAATGCTGGTACAGCAGACATGTCACTGAATCACTTCCCCAGTCCCTGTGACCTTGAGTTTCTGATCCTCCTGTCTCCACCTCTCACCTGCTGGGATTATATGGGTAGCCACCACACTTGATTTATAACAGAATATATTTTAAATAGCCACATTACCAAAAAATATGTAGTGACAAATTTTTGATGAGTTTGATTTAATCACTCTATAATGTATGCATCTATCAAAAGATCACCTGTGCCCAATACATGTATATAATTATTATTCATCACTTAAAAAAATAATATTGTAGGCAGGTATGGTAGCACACACTTGTGTTCCCAGCACTCAGGTGACTGAGGCAGGAAGGGTAGTGATGTCTAGGCTAGCCTGGTCTACCCTGTCTGAACAAACATTGTCAAGCCTGTGTGGTGGCCTTTGTCTATAAATCCGATACCTGAAAACTTAAGTAGAAGTTTGCGGCCTGCCAGGATTGTGTAGTGAGTTCCAGACTAATCCAGGTCCCAGAGCGAGATTCTGTCTCAAAATAAAGTGACCATATCAGGCGGTGGTGAGAGTGAGAAAGGCTTAGAGTCTCGTGCATTTTTGGTCAGATACAAAATGAGTGAAGTTACTTTAAAAAACACTTTGACAACTTTATTGGGGGCAGGGTCTCACTATGTAGCTGAATCTGGCCTAAAGCTCACAATCGTCCTGCCTCAGCCTCCTGAATGCTGGAACCGTAGTGACAAACCTCACACTCATTTTGGTGTAAAATAAAGCTTAACAGACACTTAAGAAAAATCAATAACCAGTAGCTGGGAACCACTGTATACAATGACAGGTTGGGAAACCCAGCACAAAAATGGGGAAAATGAAGCTGGGCATGGTGGTGTACACCCTTCATCCCAGGAATCAGGAGGCAAAGGCAGGCAGAGTCTGTGAGATGGAGGGCTGCCTGTTCTACATGGTGAGTTCCAGGCTAGTTGGGGCTACAGGGAGACCTTGTCTGGAAAAACCAAAAAAGGGAGGGAAAGGGGTTTGGGCTGAGTTGATAGAGTGCTTGCCCAGCATGCGGGAAACCCTGGGTTTGATCTGCAGCACCTCTTGAACTGGGTGTGGTGGTGCTTACCTGAATCCAAGCACTCAGGAGACGGAGGCAGGAGGATCAGAAATTCATGGCCATCGCTGGCTACATAGAGATTTGGAGGCTGGACTGGGCTATATGACATAGTCTTCAAGAAAATAAACAAAGGAAATACAGACAGAAACGCAGGGGTTGATAACTAACTGAGGAAGATATCTATTTATTCCACAGTTATTCATTCAACAAACATGCCTACCTAGGCACTATTTTTTGGGACAGGTCCTCACCATGCACCCCTTGGCTAGACTGGCTACATAGACCCTGCTGACCTCCAGCTCAGTGACATCTACACTCTCTGCTTCCCAAGTGCAGGGTTTAAAGGTGTGTGCCACCAATACCTGAAGCCTAGGCACTATTCTAAACACCAAGGATAGACAGGAGGGTCCAGGATCCCTGCATGATCTGTGGAGTCCATCCACTACAGCCAGTACACAAGCAGCCTATAGTGCAGTCTGGTACAAACAAGAAAGACAGAGAGATGCTGTGAGCCAAGGGCAATATGCCCCATCAATCAGAGAGGCAGGATGATAGTAGCCATCCAGCTCCATCCTGAGAATAAGCCCAAGGCTTCAGAGACCCCCATGAAGGTGCTCCTGACTTTCAGAGATTCTCCCCCGCCCCCCATCCAGCACTCACCCTGATGCCTCCAGTCCAGCAGGCGGGTTCCTGAAATCAAATTGGGTAACATTATAAAATTCGAAGATGGAGAAGCTGCCTCCCACAATTACATCCCCAGGACGGTCAAAGCGAAGGCTCTTCCCTGGCAGCCTCCAGCCTATTGGTCCAGAAAGGGCACCCCCAGAGAGACAGCCAAGCATAGCAGAAAGCATGGTACACAGCCATATGCCTGCTGGGAGCTGTACAGCCGATGACAGGACAGCCCCATATAGGGCAGTGGCTGGCAGTGATCTGGGGTTTTATCTGGGAGGTTGCCCTTGATCAAGACCTGAGACTAGAACCATACTGGGAATTCCAGGGTTTTACACTGTGGGGAAAACACTGATGCCAAGCTGGAGCTGGGTGTTTACTAAGTCCCAGAGCTATTAAAAGTTTTACACCCTTCTGTGGTTTCCTAGGCTATAGCACAGTGCGTCAACTTCAGACTACAGGGAGGGTGACAGTGGGTCTTGACTGTTTCCTAAGGGGCCTGTACAAACTGGAAGAGCTGTGCTCAGGATGCCCAGGGCACTGTTTTGGAGAGAGGCTACAGGAGGGTACAGGAAGCAAACAACCTGTGACCCCTCCTCCTACCTCACCGAAAACATCTGGAGGTAGAAATGTCTTCAGTTTCATGAGATGCCCTGGGCTTCCCTCCTTTCTGAGCCACCAAGCAAAAAGTTTCAAGTAGGAGAGAATGTCTTCAGCCGGCCGAAGCTACCAAAGCTGAGGTGGTGCGTCTCTGTGATCACGGAGCTACGTTCAGGCAGCAGAGTACAGCTGAGATGAGAACAGCCCCCTGTAGAGGTAACGTATTGCTTTCATACTCATGAGACAAGGGAGGAGCTCTCCAAGCAAAAAGGAAGGTATCCAACATTCCCTGTCACCAAGCATGCATGTGCAAATTAAAAACAGTGTGGGGAGCTGGAAAGACAGCTAGGCTCTTAAGAGCACTGGATGCTCTGTGGGGAATCCAGATTTGGTTCCCAGCACACACACAGCAGCTAACAACAGTGTGTACATCTAGTTCCAGGGATCCAATGCCTTCTTCTGTCCTCTGCAGGTACTGAACACAGGGGTGCAGTTATATAAACTCAGTCAAAACACTCCTACACATAAAATAACAAATAAAATAGTATGAAAATTAAAACCACAGTGAGGTAGTGTTGTGGGATTTTTGTCCATAGATGGGAACTAGTATCTATTTACCCCACATAGAGCACTAATGACAGACCAAAGAAATGGTTTCACTCAAATCTGGTTTGGTGTCAGTAGGTGAACTGGGATTACTTAAGGAGCATGGGCAACTTGTGGCAAGCTGCATCACTGAAAAACCCGCCCCAGCATGGGGGATGACTCATGGACAGCTGCATCCTTTGAGCTCCCTTCTAAACTGACAGGCAGCTCCACGGAAGAGGGTCCTCTCCCCCATCAATTGTTGACTGATATATAACCCCAAGGCAAGGCCTTCTGAACTGTGTAGCTTTCTGAGGTTGCGAGTCAGAAATTTAGAAATTGCTGAGGCTT